AGGGGGTGTAGGGGCTGGAGGGGGTTACAGAGATAGGGAGGGGGTGTCGTGATGTGAATGAGAGATGGAGAATGGGTGAGAATGGATGTTGCCACAGGATCTCTTAGTGCCCGATCTGTTGCTGCCAACTAGGCCTTTATTCCAAAACAAAATTTAAAATGCCCACGTGAGATTGTGTTTTAAAGTTCTTTTGTGTGAACTGTGACAGGCTGGAGAAGGGGCTGAACGGCCTCCTCCTGTTCCCTGTGTGACAGGCCGGAGAAGGGGGCTGAACGGCCTCCTCCTGCTCCCTGTGTGACAGGCCGGAGAAGGGGCTGAACGGCCTCCTCCTGTTCCCTGTGTGACAGGCTGGAGAAGGGGCTGAATGGCCTCCTCCTGTTCCCTGTGTGACAGGCCGGAGAAGGGGCTGAACGGCCTCCTCCCATTCCCTGTGTGACAGGCTGGAGAAGGGGGCCAAATGGCCTCCCTCCTGTTCTGAGAAGGGGGTGAATCAGGTTGACCGCTCCCCGATACTGCTGCAATAAAATGAACCTCGAGATGCTTTGGACAATTTAATTAATCTTCCATTTGGAGCTTACGGAACGTACAATGATAGTCGCGCGGGGTTTGGCGTCAAGTTGGTCTCCCGTAGCAACGGCGTCCAGCGCCTCCGCCCAGGAATGTGGTGGCAGCCATCTTGGTTTCTGGGGTCAGAGGTGGAGGGCAGCAGGCTGACCAATGGGGTTGTTGTCGGCCGCCTTGGCGTCCCTTGGAGGAAGGGGTGGCGTTGGGATTGAGGGTGTGCGCTGCTGCTTTAGATGGAAAAACACCTCACCGTCTCAACCGCGGGCCAACCCACCTCCCATCGCCCACCCCACCCCCTCCCTCTCTCTCTCCTCCCCCCCCAACCCCAGGGGGCGTACTTTTTTATTTAATCACCAATTGTCGCTGCTGGGAGTGCCTGCCCCACGTCTCTCCCCTTCGTACCCCAGCCTCCCCCGCGCCCGTCCCTCCTCCTCTGTCTGCTGGATCGTCGGCGTTGACCGTAGGCATCGAAGAGCCCCGGGTCCCGTTCAGAATTTTGAGGCTGAGTGGGCCGGGCTCCGAGCAGCGAGACTCGCCTGTGGAGAGACGGATCCAACGTTAGTGCAGGCCCCGAGGTGGGCAATAGTGACCCAAAACTCAACCGGACTCAACACAAGAGGCAGGTTGGGAATCCTGCAGCGAGTAACTCCTCCCCGTCCCGCCATCGACAAGGCTCAAGGCAGGAGTGTGATGGGATACTCCCCACTTGCCCCTGGATGGGGGCAGCTCCAACAACACTCAAGAAGCTCGACACCATCCAGGACAAAGCAGCCCCCGGCTCGATTGGAACCACATCCACAAACATCCCACTCCCTCCACCCACCGACACTCAGTCGCAGCAGTGTGTACCATCTACAAGATGCGCTGCAGAGATTCACCAAAGATCCTCAGGCAGCACCTTCCAAACCCCATGACCCACTTCCATCCAGAAGGACAAGGGGCAGCAGATACATGGGACCCCCCACCCCCTGCAACTTCCCCTCCGAGCCACTCCCCATCCCAACTGGGAAATATTCTTTCTCTTTTGTTCATTGGATGTGGGGGTCATGTCTAAGGACTCCAAATCTTCACAATCCTGTCAGTGAACATCTTGCCCCTATCCCTCCAAACCCTTTCCTATCCATGTACTTATCCAAATGTCTCTCCCACATTATAACTGTACCCACATCCACCATTTCCTCCAGAAGTTCATTCCACACACAAACCACTCTCTGTGTGTAAAAAAA